GTTCTGTGTAAGACACATTCACTCCACTTTATCAGCTGCAGCTCCTGTGTTCAAGTAATGTTGATACTCTTTTCTGTGGCCCAAACACCAGCCCCATGATTCATCACCTGGTACAGGAAACCCACAGCCAGGGAGAAGCTAAATCAGAGGGAAAGAAGCAGCTGCAAATTTGTCCATCCCCAGCAGAGCCTTGTCCTCAGAAAGGGCTGTATACATTTTCTCCATCTCCTAATCAACTTATTACTACCTTCTGAACAAAAAATATTCACTTTAAAGCAAAATGGAGCATCTTAAACAGTCTGTCATGTCCTCATAGGAATACTGCATTTCTGCTGCTGCTACTGTTCCACAAAATACATTGATGCCACCAGTCAATGCAATTTACACAAAGTCACCCTAATGATCTCAAAATCTTAAATTACAAGTGTTGAAATTCCAAAACAACTCTCTACAGTATGAATGATAACCACCAGACTGATATTGCTGCTCCCAGTAGCTGTTTACTAACTTGGTATTAAGGGACCACAGGGTATCCCCCCTCCCAGTTCCTCCTGTTAGTACTCAGCAATGATTACCATCTCTCTGCCAAGACATCTACAATTTGCAGCAGCGACCTCATTTTACAGACGACTCAAAACAGCAAAGAAACGAACACCACCAGCAACAGACTGCAGCACTTTTGAATCCTGTTACAAGTATCACTTAGAGCTTAGCATGCATTAACATTAACCAGCTCTTTGATAGCACTAACCTTGTTTCTGCTGTAGTAGTTGTAGCAACAAACAACTTGCCTGGACTTAAGCAAAATGACAACATTGTTCAAAACTGCCATCAAATGAGTTTTGATTGAATTTGCAGAGAGATATGAACAGCTCATTAATTATATTAATATCATAAATTCACCATATTAATTATTTTTTTTAAATATCTCAGAAAAAATTGTAACACTGGCCAGTGTAATGTTTAACTAGCTCTTAAGTATCACACAAGTACTGGCTTCTAAGCACTCTTTGGTTTATTTGAGAGTCTATATTTCAATTACAAATAGGCTACATTGCCTCTGAGTTATTACAGACATAAGTCGGTAAAATAAAAGTTCTTAGTCTATTTATCTAGGGATCAGCTATAGCCAAAGCAAAAATAATCTAATTACCTTCATACTGCTGATTTTCTTATTACACAGGGACAGACAAACAGTCCTAAGCTCACAACAGATTTTAACCAAAACTCATGTTTGTTACCATCAAAACAACACACTCTCTTCATGGTCATGAAAATCCTACTAGGAATCTGCTGCATCACTGCACTTCCCTGAATCACGTTTCCCAGTGAACAGAACTTTAAATTCCCCTGTTCAATTAGTCTCATTAATTGAAACAGAGTTACTGAAGACCTACGGGCATACTATAGGTGATGACAACTGCTAAACCAAAAGAAAAGGAAAAAAAATCAATATAAAAAAGCTTCTTGGAACTATGGGATGAAAAAACATCAGTGCTAGAGTATCTCCCCTGCAGTCTTGTTTGGTTCAAAGACAGCAGAGTAAGAGATGTTTCCATACTGAGCACAGCATTATGAACTGCCCATTATTTTCTGTCTACATTAGCCACCCCCTTTGTTAATAAAACCAAAATCAACTAAGCATCTTTGAAAATAAATCCTCCTGACTGCTATGGCTAAGGTGTACTGGTTTATAACATGCTTTATAGATCATTTATTCCTCTACTCAAATTGCTGATTAAATGTTCCTAGTAGGAAGTATCATTTTACACAGAACAATGGTGGTACACAAACCACACCGAGGGCATTTTTCCTCTTTTGTTAAGCTCTGCTTAAGATGACTTAGCCAGCCCAAAAAACCCTCAAAATTCCATTTGCTGTCCCTGTTTGTAACATTCAGTAATCTGGCAGCTCTCAGATGAAAATTAGCAGAATGTACATTTGGAAAGGAAAAATGCAGCCTCATAAGCGTTTAAGGCCAACTTATTGCATAGAATAATTAACAAAAATCAACTTTTCTGAGTTGAATTTAAAACTTCAGTTTATAATGCAATATTCAGATACTTTGACAGTAATAAGCACTATTTGCAAGACTTTCCAGAATAGAATAAAAAAACAAGTCTCTAACAACAAGACCAAGATTAGGTAAATCCACTTTGAGTGCTGGCAGACAGAGAAAGACTAAGGAGCCAATCTAATTAAATGCTGGGGTATTTTCCTTACCAGAACAATTCAAGCACATGGATAAGGGAAATGACAAGTTATCATACATCAGCTGTACAACAGCAACTGACTATGGGAGTATTCTTAATCCATTGTAATGTGAGTTAAAACACAATACCTTATATAACAATGACAGAATTTTAAACTAATCTGTTTCACTTCACATTTGCAAGAGAACACAAATTCAGAAACATATATCACAAATCAGTCTACGATGGTAACTTACTGACCTGAAATAACTAGTTACCAATTAAATGAAGCACCAAAGAATTGTATGAAATATGAAATATTAACTATGTAAAGCAGAAATGTCTGTCTCACTTTGCTTCACTCATCTTTTTAAATTCATGCTTCAGTAATTTTGTTTACTTATGATTATTCAAGTCCATAAAAAAGATTTCTTCAAATCTTCTCTACGGTGCAAGCAATTACTGCATAGGAATGTACAGTAAATATTCTGTATGTTCAAAATACCCCTGAGAAGTACAGACATATTAATATTATGTTGAATATAAGGAATAAACATTAAGCTCTAGAGTTTCACTTTTACATGAATTTTAATTTGCAAAGGCAGCCATGTTATTTTAACAGTCTTGTGTAAAGTACACACACAAAGTACATGAAACTATAATGAATGTAAACATTTAATTAGTTTTATGTAACAGTAACAGTGAAAAAAACTAAAATTCAGTCTTCATTTGCTTTAAAGAATAGGTGAATTATGATCAACTTAGAAATTGAGACAACCTATATGGAAACATATGCAATAACTGTATAAAGCTAGTATCTAATAATATCAAGCAGTATTTTTACTTTTCAAAGGTACAATCTGAATAAACCCTACATTATATGCTCTCAAACAAAAGAAGGAAAAAAGTTTGGAGTTCTTAAAGATGTCATTAGTAACAACAAGGGATTCAATCAAGCACAATGCTCTGGGCAGTTCTTTAAAGGTTCAGATCAGAAGTCAATGGTCCTTTACAGCTCTCCAGGATTGCAGCAGCCTGCTACCCTGTATTTCTCAACACAAGATTAACACTGACTCGGGAAGAGTGAGTAATTCACTATCATTCAATAGCACCATGTTCAAAGACTATTTGGTACCAAAATTTATCACTATCTGCAGAGAAAGAAACATCTAAATCACAGGTTAACCTCTATATCACATGTATGTGTGTGTATGCAATTTGACTTAGGAAATGTTGTTAAATCTTTAAATCACTGTGTCTGATGATAACAAATTGTTGATTATTGATATACTAAGTGTTGCTAGAAAATTATATAATTTAATTTTGTGATTTGTTATAATAATACTAATGAATGTCAAAGTGCTACTATATCCTGAAGTTACACAAGATCCATAATCACATGTTGAACCACTACACAGAAATCCCTACTCTTAATCCCTTTAGACATAAGCAGCTGACCAAGTGTGGGACTAAGTCTGGGATCCAGCTGCACCTAAGCTCCTCTCTGAGAAGAGGTTTAGAAAGCAAGGGACCCCACTCTGAACCTCATGACTCAACTGGAGAGCCTTCCTCATCCTTTTTCCCCAATGTCTGTGTATTTCACTCCAAACCACTCCTGACTCAATTTCCCCTATCTCTTTAGACATTATTTCTCCCAATTCCCTTGTAAATCACTCCAATGCAATTCCAACCTTTGTATATTCTTTCCACATAGCAAGTAACAGAGTGAATCTTGCCATTGAACTCTGTTAAGTTTCACTTTTACAGATTCACATGAAAATCAAGTCTCTAATATCTTTGACAGTGATCCTTCTCTCCTTCTGTGACAGCAACATAACAGTTTAAACTTTTGCTGTTTGGCTTTGCTGGCAGTGATAAAACAGCAGTGAAGTAAAATATTCTGATTTAAGTCAGAGCTGAGAACTGCAGAAAAGAAAAGAGATTTGAAAACTCTTCTGTGTCATGTCAATGACACACAATCATTTCAGATTAGCTGTATGCAAGTTTGGGGAAAAAGGGGAAGTTTGCTGATTTGTTTTTACTTTTAAGTACACAGTAACACTTGTTGAAGCATGTCATTATGTTAGTAACAAATAAAGTGTATATTGCAAGCTTTGCTAGTGTGAGATGCAGCCAGAAAACCCTTAGAAACAGTAATAAGTGAATAAGAGATTAAAAAAATTCATTTTTAAAAACAAATTTTCAGAGTGACCAATCTATTTAACTGACAACTTTCAGGAAATAATGAGGAACTGAAGTTCACTGTCAGTAGGCCATAAATAAAACAAATATTCTGAAATTTCTATCCTTTTTCTTATCATCTTCATCTCTACCATGTCACATCTACAGACAACTTTGAAGCAGGAATAATAATACATTTCCAATAAATCTCTTTGTCCTCTGTGACCCCAATGGAAAAGAAGGATACTGAATGCTCTTGTTTTTACACACTCATCACCTAAAACTAAGCTGCAGAATCCTCACAATTATAGTATCATCATATTATTAGAAGAATACTATATTATTATATAGCATACTGTGACACTAGTGATTATCACACTATTGCCTCAATCTATTTGGAATTAAAGACATTCTGGTAATTCGGGAAGGTGCTAAGTGTCCAAGTAGCCATCAGTAAGCAACAAACTCTCCTTTGATGGGGATCTTGTGTCCTAAACTTTTGCCTTATCAACATAGGAGATTAGTGCTTTAACAAAACCAATGAAATAACAAAAGGAGTAAAACTGCCTGTATCACATCATCTAGCACACACTCAGGCATTTTGAACAGTCAGTAAAAAGCACTTACCACACCAATTCCCTCAAAAGCAAATACTGCAGTCCCAAAGAACAGTGGGTATTTCTTCCAGCCAACCACATGAGGCAGTTTTCGAGGATCTAGTGTATCCTGAACAAAGCAAAACGATGCTATGTGAAGCATAGGTGTTCCTACAATTTTTCATTAATGTGTTATGCTGTAGGAAAGAAAACTCAGTATGTCTTGACAGTATACACAGTGTTATTTACAATCCCTGGTTTTCTTCCCAGAGCTATTCCTTTCACATATTTAGAGCCATCTTCCCACCCAAACACAGACACTTGCAGATATAATTATTCTAAGTTCGTATTATTGACACTAGAAATTTTCACATTTAAAGTATCACTGTGGTGTGTATGAATGAGCATCAACTAAAACAACAGGGGAAGCTCACACCTCAAGCTTCACCCTCTCCGAACTTTCCAACAGTGTTGCATTTTCTAATCTGCTTCATACTGCACAGATATTCTTCATAACCATAAGAAGCAATAAAATAAAATATTTTAATACAAACTGAGCTCCTGCAGCAAAATTAATTATTCTCTATCTCCTCTTATCTCTTCTATGTAACTTCTCATGTCTCCTTTCCCAGCAAGTACCTCTCACTGGAGTTTCTGCCTTCCTCTCCATCCTCTGATTACCCCTCATCTCTTAACAGTCATGTGAAATCTTTCTCAAACAATAATGGCACCCACCACTTATCACTACACCATGTGTGCAACAGTGTCTATTACCACTTTTTAAAAAACCTAAGAAAGAAAAATGTAGAGGTTTCTACACAATTTTTTTTCAATCATCAATTTCATTTGTTCCATTATGAAATGCCTCCAAACATGAAAAACAGCAGCAACCCAGAAGTGCAGCAACTGTTGAACTTCTCAGGATACAGAAGTCTGTAATATGTACTCTTAAAGGATAAATCTTACTTTTTTCCTGACTATATTGGAGAAACACCAGAAAGAAAGGTTGCTGTTGAAATTGTTTCTCTGTTGCAACAATAAGATTGACCACAGGTTAAAACCTTGCAAATTCTGTGGGCAACCCATAAAAATTTACATATTCTTCCACTCAAGGGCTCCAAGTTGTTACAATACCTATTTTTATTATCTAAAGTACAGCAATATTATCCTTTCTTTCAAAAGTACTATAAAAGTCCATGTTTAAAGCATATCTCAAATTTCAAGGCACATCCTTACGTTAAGATACCTCAATTAAATACAATTCTGCCTTCCTGAAATTGGCAGTAAGTATCTATCTATCAGAGACCAGCTGCCACATACAACAAATACAACTTGCCACACTGAAAAAAAAAATAAATAAACTTTTTTATACTCACTCTAGCAATATACTGGTAAATGATGGCAAGGCTGACAGCCATGGACACATTGGCAAGCAATGAAAGGAAGGACAGGCTCTTAAGGTCACGAATAAATACCAGGAGGATCATGAATGGCAGGAAATACAGCATGTATATTCGTAAATCAGTGCCCCTTTTCTCAGAAGAACTGTTGGTGGCACTGCCATTTATGGAGGCAGTCTTGTTTTCCAAGAATCCTTCATGGACCTGTAGAAAAAACCAAAATGTGTTAAACAGTGGTAGCGCTGAGTCTCCGTACATACAGAAGTGTTTTTCTATAGGGGAATTTGTCCCTCTGCTTTACATGCTGAGTGTCAGGCCTTTCAGGACCCCTGTACTCTCAGCACAGAGGGGAAGACAAGATGTTTTTAGCAAGCATTTCATCCTTCAGACAAATTATGAAATCATGATCTCAAAGATCTGAGCCTTTATATCCCACCACTGACTGAAGAGGAAAGCCAAGAGCAGTTTAGATCAGCTTTCTTTCAGAAAGGGAGAGTTTGATAAAATGAATGCAAGTGAGATAGAGCTAGGAATTAATATTAGTTTGAGTTTTCCTAAGGAGAGTAAGTGGGATAGATGACCCTCAGCTCGTGTGTACCTGAGTTCAGTTCCTAATAACCTTATGCCTTTTACATCCACATCACAGCAGCATACATGGCTTTATTTATTTGGACTATGAGACTTTCATAAGTTAGAGGACATTAGTTAGTAATTTGAATCCAAGTGTATGCAAACCAAGTCATTCAAATTGGCAAGTTTGCCAAAACTCAGACTTTACAAGTCTAGGAGAAAAAATAATTGACAATTCACTTTATTTCCATAGTTTCAAACAATCCATAAACTCAGGAACGCAGAAGTAACTTCAAATTCTTTTCTGTAACTAAAAGTACTTTTAATTATGAAAAAGGGAATGAGAAAAGATGCAATTATGTAAACACGCATCTTGCAGAAATTTCACTTTAAATTAAAATCAAGGACATCAGTCATTACAGAAAGTCATTACACTGAGGGTTAACACCTTGCTAGAATCTTCAGTGTCAGAAAACTAGGACAAAGAGTTAAATACATTTAAAGCTGAATTCCAGTGAATTCACACAGTTAAAGTAACTCCATTTTGCCAAGCAATACGTCAAACACTTAACCGAATTACCTCCCTAATAGCACATGAAGTAAAGCTCTCTGAAGAAGCTTCCTGCTTTCCCAGCATACGTAAAATAGAAATACAGAGCAAACACTTCAATAGCCTCGAACTTTAAGAATAGACTGGTGTTTACTTGCTTTGATTCATAGGTAGCCAGAGCTACTGTGCAAAAAAGGACACATAAAAGGGTTTTTCCAAGAATTACAGTGTGATTTGAGCATGTAAGTCCCACTGAAAATCTCAGCTACAATAAATATTTACCCTAATGTGTCTTCAATTTCTAGAAATGTCTGTAAGCTTGATAGGCAATTCAAAAAAATTCCTAAAAAGATAAGAGTAGGCACAATACAGTTCTGGTTCTAAAATATATATTTTAAACCACTAAAGTATAAACCAGCTTCTCAAATTTAGTTTCTAGCATTTAACCACTTCTGTTTTCACTTAAGACTTTCTATTTTTATACACAAACCCAAAAAAGAAAATATACTTTATTTTTTTTCCTATTAACATCACCACATTTCAACTAGACATATGGCTGGACAATGTAGTATAACAATACTCCGTATAATTCTATTCAAGATTAGGTCAACTGGGGTCAGCTACCCTAATGATGGATTTAAGATCAGATAACCCTCCCATAATGTGTTAAATAAAAGTGGACATTCAAAATAGCCTTTATTGCTATCTGCCTTTTATTTTCATAAAAATATGAGGAAAGCACAGAACACACTACAGCTGCACACAGACTCTCCACAGCCATCACGAGATGAACGAATATTGATGCAGAATTGGCAAAACACAGCCAACTAAATCCATCAGACTGTGACTGCCTGACCCTAGCTTCCCACCTCCCACCTACACATTCCAGGTATGAGTGATAATGCTACAGTAAACCACAACACTGTAGCCTGCTTTACAATAGTGTAGCATTGTTCTCCTTCTCTCCACACTCTTCTTTGCCCCAGTATTCACCAGAGGAAGGAAATGGAGGCCAAAGTGATTCTCAAAAATGTGTTGACTTGCAGGAGCCTGCATCAGATCCTGTTTCTTGAAATGCACTTTAAAGAAAGAAGAGAGGGCAAAGACATTCTAGCTGGGTGGGAAAAAGAAAAAAGATTACATTCCAAACCTGTTAAACATAGATAAATATTTTGTGTAATCCAGATTTGCAATCACAGCTGTCAAACTCAGCTATGAAAAGCACCAACCTTGTATATTTTTTAACCCAAGAGCTGCAATTCTAGGTCTGGAGTAAATGTCAGTTCCACAGAATTCAGTCTTCCTGCTGTCCCTTCCTCTCTTCCATACTGTCTCTCATTTGAGACACTTGTCAAGTCTCCTATCAACTACAGAAGACGCTGTATTCTCAAGCCTTCTCCATTACCCCATGCAAAAACCTCAGAGGATTATTCTGCTATAAGTCTTTAGATAAATAAAAAAAGAAAATTAGAGCTCTACATGAAACAGTCCTGTTTCCTGAAGTTTACCCTATGGAGAATTACAGCTTTGTATAGAGAAAAAATATGTTAAATGCTTAATTAGGGTCCACTTATCCCCTAATAAGTGCATAAAGTACATACACTTACTCCAGGCAGAGTATTTTAGAGATGAACTTGCCAACAGATTAAGAGGTTACTCTGAACTGTATCACTGTTATAGACAGCAGTGTTGTCTGGGTGAGGAGGAGGTTTCTGAAATTTATTCTTCACTAGCTATTACTTGTGTGCAGCAAAATGTTAAACCCATTACTTCAAAATTAATATTGCAATTTATTTTAAAAAAAAACAACTTTCTTAAAGTTTCAATTCAACTGTTGACTCTAAAGTTGGTTTCATTACATCCATTATGTTCAGCTTTTTGCATTACTAAAACACCTTGGCCTTGAATTTATGTACACATACCCACACATGCATATGCTGTGTAACTCATGTTTCAGACACAGTTATAATGATACAACAGCACAGGACAATTTATTCCCTTTTTTGAATATACACATTAAATCAATCTGATATCAATAAAGCAGCCTTAAGGTCAGTGAGGGCAGTACCACTGACAAGTTTAGGCAAGACCACAGGAAATAGCCATAACATAGAGGGGGATTTTGAGACATGACAGAATAGTGGTTCTGTACATTGATTCAGAAGAGGCCGACCAGAAAAGATCCAGCAAGTTATTCTTATGGGAGAGCTAAACAAACAGGCAACAGTGACTGACAGATGGAAGAAAGCTGAGTTGGAAAGTACAATGCAAAAATTATAAACAGTAAGGATCACTATTGTCTCTCAGTGGAGCAATTGGTTGTGGGAGATTTGATAGTAAAGAGCAGCAGAGAAAAACTCTAATAAAGATGAGATTATACCAATTTGTTCAGGTGCAGACTAACTTTACCATCACTCTGTAAGTGTTTTACTAGATTTTAAAAAAATAAATCAGATAACACTTAAAACTGTTTTAAGAAAGAACAAAATACAAAGCAGCATGAGGTTTTTTTTGTTCGTTTTGGTTTGTTTTTTGAACTCTTTCATATGCTGTTTAGCTCAGTGCAAGTTTACTGCTGATTGTGTTAGGGCAGACTGTGACTCACTGTCTGTCTAATGTAGTCTCCTAAATATTACTCTCAGATTCCCGTTCTGGACAACTATCACTTTCGACCTCTTGCTGCTCTCTGCTAGTCTATCACTGCACACAGCTGTCATGCCAGGGCAAGAAAAGCAAACATTCTATCTGTCTTTTTCCTAAACAAAGCAACATAATCTGACATATCATCAGAACATCAGACAATTTACACAAATCTTTTCACTTATCTATCCAATGGATCTGTTCTTGACAGATGCGTATGTAGACATTCTTCTGTGTATGTCATAAAGCCCAGTGAATACTGTTCAACTTCCCATCTGAACACACATTATCTACATTTTTTTCTGTGCTTATCATAACTGTATCTGGGAATTCCAGAAATACTTCCCTAAACCACATGAGGAAACATTTTATGGTTTTAAAAAGGGACATACACAGCCATTCAAGTCACTAGGCATAATGACTATGAAGGCTACTGATGTCCCCTGTCACAACATGACTTCACCAGAAGTCACTTCAGTTATTCAAGCATTAACTTACATGATGGTGTGTTGTCTGAAGCAGCTTTCTTCACAGAAGTGCTTCACCTCATATCTCATTTACACAATCCAAGCTTAGCATTCACCAACTTCATCTGTATCCATGAAGATCAAAACTTGGTTATCAGATTCCTGATGTCAGGCACCAGGAAAATGACTAATACACAACTAGTAACTGCAGAAAATTCAGTTCAACTGATGAACACACTCCTTAAAAGAACTACCTCAAAATCAAGAAATAATTCTATCTCTCTTCTGTCACACAGTCTATGGAACTTCTAACATCTAGTGGGATCTAAACAGCAGCCTCTGAGCTCATTGGTTCTTTCTAATTCCTTCTTCATTCAACTTGGAGCAACAACCAGTAAAACAGACAAGGCCAGATCTGGCACAAAACCAGTATGTTGTCAGGCAGATGATGACTATATTGTAACACTGTAACTTGGCATGAAAAGGCCAAATAAAGGTTTCACAGTTAATTTAATTCTGGAATTTCATTATTACTCAGTACTCAACTTTGCAATATTAACACTTCTATGTCTAAGTGGAGTTTCCTAAGTTTTGGGGTATTTTTTTCCCTTTTTACAAAAACAAAAGAAAAAAAAAACCACCAAAATTCCATTATTTAGCATCCCACTGATGGGTCATCTTCAAAGTGCTAAAGATCTAATAAAATGCTCCCACACAGCAAGAACAGGTTTTCATTTATTTTTAGCTTCATCAGCAAAAATTGAGAAAAGGACACTTTTCCAGATAACTAAGCAAATATTCACCAGCAAGTTGACAAATTATAAAACCCTTGGCTTAAGGTCTTCTATTGCTCCAGCAGGAAAAGCATGACATGAAAGGGGACCATGCTCTTATAGGTACAGATTCTTTTTTCTATCCCAGTGGATTCCTGCTCCAGTCTTGCTGCAGTCAACCTCCAGCTGTTAGTTCCAGTTTCACCATTCTCCTCCAGTTCCAGACACCTTCACCTGTAAGCCCCTTACTTGCATGCTGCCAGACTTAACCAGAACTCTCGCCAGCAACCTGTGTTTCTTCAATGCCCCAGGAAAACACTCCTTAGGTAAAGCTTCATTTGAAATTTGATATAACTGGAAATAGGGTCTTGTAGCACAAACTGTCTGGAAAGCGTTAATGTTATGCAGTCAATATTGTAATAAACCCACAAACACTAATTAGAAAAGATTTAGCACCAGAATCTATATACATTAATGAGAAGTATTTATCAAACATTTTGCAGAATTCAATAGATTAAATAAATATTTAGACTCACATGCACTAGTGTGTGCCTAACTAAATATTCACTTCAGATTAATCTGGACTCATGAATATTTAATTCATGCACCAGAACCACGGTAAAGTTCTTTGCCTTATCTTAGTTATCTGAAACAGTAAATAAAGGAAAGCAAGAGACTGGTAAATTTGGATTGGTACTACCTTTTAACTAAGAATATCAAAGAAAAGATCTCAGCAGAAGCTCCTACTGGTTCCAGTGGCCTGAATTTGCACACATCAACACACAAACATCATCAGAAGAGTAAGGAACATAGTACAGAGGTATTGGTCAGAGAGCGGTATCAGTAACATTATTACTGTGTTCCTCCTTTACCTTAGTTCCCCAGCCCGTTTCCTCTATTCACCTGCCTCATCCTTCCAATACGGCAAACGATTAGAGTCAACGCAGTAACAATTTGTGTTCTTTGGTGCCCTCTATGGGACAGATTTCTGCAACATGAAGTTGCCAGGAAGAAAACATCCTTCTCCCTCCCAGAGGGAAGAGCACAAGGCAATATGAATCAAACAGAGTGGGAAGTGGGACTTCTGAATTGCTGAGGACTTCTGTTCGTCCACAGGGTACATGTCTGGGGTCTCTGCAGCCACTGCTTTTGCAAAGGTTGCTTTTCTGTAAGATCTTTCTACCCATTTTCAAGTAAGCAGCAACTGAATTCCTGTCAATGTTCTCTTTTCCTCAAAAATCTACAAAAGCTGAAGTCAGTAAGTGTTCAGTCCTCCTTTTGCTTAAGGTCAAAACACATATACAAGTGGTTCATCAGATATGTATCTGATAGGAAGGCTTTCAATTCCAGCTTGCATTACAAAGGATGTAATAAAAATCCCAGCAGAAGGACATCAGATTTTTAGGTATTGAAAGATTGTGGCAGTGGGACTGTAATCTTTAAATTTGGTTGTTTTTTTTCTCTCCCAAGACACAAACTACAGAGTATTCAGCTGCCAAATACACAAATTCGTCTCATCTTCACAGGGTCTTCATCTATATAACTTGGAACACTTTTTGAACACAATTATAAATACTCAAGTATAAGAGGAGGAAAAGAGCCATACTATCTTCTATGTACTAACTGCCCAAGGGGACACTCTTCTTCCTCATTAAAGTAAGTTAAGCTATGCCAAACACCTTTTTTATACCTTTTGGGTAGAATAAGAGTCCATACATAAGATTAATTCTCAGTAGCCTGCCATACTTTATTCCTCACCAACCTCACTAATTAGAGCAGGACACGTTTAGATACAGGCTCAAATTCATCCTCATTAGCTTTATGTCAAGTAACTAACCATAAACTTTTGAGCAGAAAAACAGCAGAGTACAGTGGTGGAGTCCTGGCATCTTAATTAGGCCAAGCAGGAGAGTGCACAAGCTTGTAGCACCAGGGCCTCCTCCTATCTGAGCAGCCAACCTGTGCTAGCTGATGTCCCGTGGGCCACCAGCTCAAAAGCACACCCTGCTGACTGCAACTCCAAGTGTGCAAAGAGAAAGGACCAGCAAATAGCAGGGACCCTGTCAACAGAAAAATCTCAATGAGAAAAAGAAGAGCTTAGAAGGGCTGGAGAATGAAACACAAAAAAACATGAAGAAAAGCAGGAGAACCTGCTATGAAAGAGACAGGCAAAGGTCTGTTTCCTTTTGTCAGTGATGGATAGTTGTGAGGGAAAAAATGGATAGTTATGTTTTATTGAAAGGTTTAGGGGTTGCTTGGGAGATGTACAGGCATTTGTGGTTGTGGTGATGCATTTGCAATTTTTAATTGACTTCATTGTTCTGGTTTGAGGGGGCACAGGCTAATTTCATGGTATCAATATGAGGACTAAAAAAGGGCATTGTTCAGAACCCTGATGGATCCAAGGGGGCAGAACAGAGAGGGGTCAGTATTCCTTATTTCCTGTCATACCCTATAAAAGCCAACACAGGAAAGTCAGCCACTGCTTTCCTTCCTCCCTTCCCTTGTCCAACATTTAGGAGAGAGGCTCTTGACCTTCAGCTCACCATGTGCTCTGCAGAGTCCAACTCCAGTGGGTGCTGGGAAGGGCCCTGGCCCTTCTTCCCGGGTCAGCTTTGCCACGAGGGACTTTCAGACACTTATATCAGTGACCACTGAAAGAAGGCTTTGTAAATATTTGTATATATTTCATTATTACCTCACATGCTACAATCCCTCCCCTCTTCTATTAAATCTGTTCTAGTTTTTCAACCTTTAAGCCTCTTTCTTACTCCTTTTTTATCTTCCCCTGGGAGGTTGGGGGGGGAGTAACAGAGAGCAATTCAGTCCTCTGTGTTTTGGTTCACCCTGACCACTAAACAGAGACTTTCATAAATATGCCATGACTTTTAGACATGCATAAATAAATCAACTTGCATAAATGCTTCACATTATTTTTCTAATAATTAATATATGTGTTGAGAACTGTTAAAAATCAATCCAGTAAGGAAAAATCAAGGATTCCATAGGTAAGCAGAAATCATCTGTACAGACAACAATGAGAAGAATTGTCTAGAATGCAGCTCTGCAATAAAGGATCGAGAGATCACAGTGGATCACAAATCAGTTGTGAGTCATGCTCCTGCAAAATAACCATTATACTGAAGTGTCAAGTCTGGAATTTCATCTGTAAGACCCATGAAATAACCTTTCAGCTCTACTAGTTACAAGCAAAACTTCAACTACGGTAGCATAACCAACTTCAGGGTTAAAACATTTAAAAAAAAAAAAAGCTGTGACTAATTGCAGAGCATTCACAGAAAAGCAAGAAGTAGGAGATTCTATCATGTCTATGATTCTATCATCTATTAGAGGGGAGCTATAACAATACTGGAGAATATAAAAGGTACTCAAACAGAAAAGAACAATTAGTTATAGCTAGAGTTTGAAATAAATTACTTTAAAAAATTATAAGAAATCTTAAGCTTCCACAAAGAAGCCACTGTCTAACATATAAGAAAGCACTGGAACTGACTATTGAGGAGGCTGTGGACATTTCAATGTCAGGCATCTTTAAGAACAAAAATCAGGGCTGGTTTAGATACAACAGATTCTGTGGCAGATTAGATCATTTGAGAAAGGAAAGAGACTAAACAAGAACCTAAGAAAGATTTCAGTGACGTTACAAGGGAAAAAGAAGACAGAAGAAGGCCTGGGGAAAAAAACACAAAAAAACAAAACAAAAAACCAACCAAAAACCAAAGAAAAGGGACAACTGGTTCCTAGACTACTTTTAGCCTTATTTTCTATCACTTCCACAACTAATTATTAAATTCAACAAACAAATCAGAGGGCAATGAAGCCACAAACACTTGCACAAGATCTGAATTCTTTCAGTTCACTTTACACACTGCTCCTTTTTTATTAAAAGGTCTTTTGTGGCAACCATTCTGTGCATCTCCCAACTTCACATTTTACAAGTAGTCCTGCTGGACTTTATAAGGATAGGAAATAAAACTGAGGAAAAAAAATCTAAAACTATAACTGTTTCCATACAGCAACATTACTCACTTGTTTCACATTTTCTGCCAAGAACACAAAATAAACACTACAAAATCCCAGCTGTGTTATCACTAGAAAGAAGTCCACAATACACCTGAAGAAGAAAAAACAAACATGCATTACACTTAGGATCCAAACAATTAACCATTTCTACCTAATATGCAATTACTGCTCTTCTTACAGTGATCAAACTAGATTCAAATGCTACATTAAGCTCCCAAGCGCTGCAGTGCAGGTTCCTCCTATGGTACAATGGTTTTGTATGTTTGTTTTTTAAAGTAACATTGCAAATTTTTTTGGAAAAAAAAAATAGAAGGTACTCAGGTATTTTAAAATGTCATAAAATGAAATTAACAATGTAGTAGAAATATAAGCAACAGACACACATATTCAGTGCACATATCATTTTTGCTGGAGTTTGTTAGCCCCTGACAGCAGTTTTCCACCAGGATGAGAATTTAAATGTCTCATATGGTCTGAGTTCTGTAAGTTTCAGCAATTCAAGGTAACAAACATTTCACATCTTACTAAGTGGGTCTCTACCAACTTATCTAAATACACATTCAGACATTCTATTGCATTGAAAAAACACTCTAAACTATGGTCAGATTGTTTTTTGGAAAATGTTGTACACAATGGTGGCCTGAAGACATGCAGTAATGAAACTGCTAGATTCAGGCATACAGCAGAGATCTGCCTCAGAGAGGATCTCTTGCAGTCATGTCCCTGGGACAGCCTGGTCTAGTGTGAGGTGTCCCTGCTCATGGCATGGAGGTTGGAATCTGATGATCTTTAAGATCCCCTCCAACCTTAACCATCCTGTGATTCTATGAAATCAAACTGCCATTTGTGGCTTGTAACTCTGGTGCAATGCAGAATTGTCATTAGTATTTCAACACAAACCAATTTTCCCTCTCATTGAGCTCTAGCCCAGTCCTATGAAGTCATCAAAAAAGACCTTCAAAGACTAGCTCACCTTTTTCTTACGTGAAGCAAAGTGATAGCCAAAACACATGATGCAATATGCAGCATCCTTGAAAATAACAGGACCAAAAAAAATTCTTCCTGAAGTGACAAAAGGACCCCCAACACTAAGGTTGAAAGACATATCTGGATTTTTGAGTTTCACTACTGTGTAGTGATACCATATGCTCCATAAGTAGCTTTACAGCAACAAACAGCAAATTAAAACTATTAGCTGGCAGCAGAATACAAATAAGACTGAAGAAAATTATTTCAAGCACAGAGAGCACATTCTTAAAGCAGGTAACATCTTAGTAAAGAGGAAATCTCTTAACCATTCCAAGTGCAGCCACTAATTTTTAATAACAAAGTTTTAAAATTAAATTCTAATGCAAATTTACCTTCCCCAAGAAGCTCGTTTCTGAAGGGCAGTCAGGGGTCCCACTTCCATGGCACAACTAACTGTGTCACTGTACCCCAGTGAGGATTTTTTCATCCTGAAATTAAAGAGTGAAGAAACTATGAGGGCCTAGATTCCTACCTTTAGAACACTTTTGGCCTCCCAGTATTATAACAGTAAGTGGCATCATCCTGCAGCTATTGAATTTCAGAGGTACAGTTTGGGTTTCTTTCCTGCAAGAAGTGCTATTCAGCACCCAACAAGCATGTGAACCACAGTGCTGCTTCCCCCTAGTTCAACAGTACTAAATCAGTGTCTTACAGAACAACTTTCTTGACAAAGTAAACCAAAACCAGATGCTTATAATATTGGCTTAAGAAATTCACCTCAAACCTAAAAGTCACAAAGAACTCCAAGAGGATTCAAAAGATTTTTCTGGACAAGCAGGCAATTCCAAATGTTTCAGTGATCTTAGTTTAATGTACATCTTCAAAGACTACTCCCAACTACAGAGAAAAAAAAGCAAAGAATTTAGGGATTACAGGATTCCTGTAATGGCAAGCACAGAGTCTTGCATCGGGGGAAGAACAACCCCATGGACCAGTACAGGTTGAGGGCTGACCTGCTGGAGAGCGTGTAGGAGAAAGGGACCTGGGGGGATGACCATGAGCCAGCAATGTGCCCATGTAGCCAAGAAGGCCAATGGCATCCTGGGGTGCATTAGAAAGGGTGTGGTTACTAGATCAAGGGAGGTTCTCCTCCCCCTCTATTCTGCCTTGGTGAGGCCGCATCTGGAATATTGTGTCCAGTTCTGGGCCCCTCAGTTCCAGAAGGACAGGGAACTGCTTGAAAGAGTCCAAGGCAGAGCCACAAAGATGATGAAGGGAGTGGAACATCTCCCTGATGAGGAAAGGCTGAGGGAGCTGGGTCTTTTTAGCTTGGAGAAGAGGAGAATGAGGGGCGACCTCATCAATGTTTACAAATATGTTAAGGGTGAGTGTCAGGAGGATGGAGCCAGGCTTTTTTCAGTGATGTCCAGTGATAGGACAAGGGGCAATGGGTGCAAACTGGAGCATAGGAGGTTCCATGTAAACATCAGAAAAAACTTCTTTACTGTGAAAGTGACAGAGCCCTGGGACAGGCTGCCCAGAGAGGCTGTGGAGTCTCCTTCTCTGGAGACATTCAAACCCCGCCTGGACAAGTTCCTGTGTGATGTGCTCTGGGTGACCCTGCCTGGCAGGGGGGTTGGACTAGATGATCTTTCGAGGTCCCTTCCAACCCCTAAGATTCGGTGATTCTGTGATCCCTTCACAGTACAGTATTACATTAAACATGTAAGATAGCTTTTCCAGCTATAGGGACATGAATAGCTTTGTGTTTCTATTGACTTCAAAAACTTTGCTGTACTTTTCTAATTCAATATCCTCCCACTGACTTTAACACCTGACAGTAAGATAACAATGTTTTATAAAAGTCATTATTAATCAAAATACCTCATCAGTCAAATTTGAATAACTGCTTCCCCCCAGTATTGTGCATCTCACTTGGAGGAGTATCTAGTGTTGCTAGTGCTCACTAGCATCATTTTAACACATTCCTTCAGCACTACAATTTCAAAGAATCAAGTTGTCACAATCCATGTAAGAGAGCTCACTTCTAATCATAAAAGACATTAACAGCAATTCTTAGTTTGTCTTTTATTCCTATAAACTACTTATAAACTTACTATTTATAAACTGGACACTTTTCAAAGCTATGAAGATTTAGAATCTATTTAGAAAGCTATGAAGACGGAGTAATGGACTGAAGCTAAGCAATTAAAACTGCAATGCGAAAGACCTGATTACTTGGCAGCAAAGGCAGGGAGGGACCAGGATACTGGGCAACACAAGTTAAACCAACTTCATTTTGTGTATGAGCAAGGAACAATCAATTTTTTCAATGCATTAAAGCAGTGTTGCACAAAACATAGCTATCACTTATAGTTACATGGTAAGAATTCAGTGCAAGACACCTTGACATCAGGACATTCTGTAGGCCAAAAAGCAGAAATAGAAGAAAAAAATAATACTCAAACTCAGCAATAGAATAAGTAGCTCCACATTTACCTCTGACATAAACAGTGGCTGCAACGTACCAAGGTGTGCATACAATGAACAGATATAACGCCAATGAACACAAGGCTGACTGGTCCAATCTGGCATGGGAAAAAAAGAGGGAGAACATGGGAGATAAACAGAAATTTTCATTAAAATATGCAGGGAGAAAATCTTTAGATGCACAAATTTATCATAGTAAATAAATTATTAAAAATTTTATGCATCTAGATTTTTTTTTCCCGCCTCTCAAAGGAGGATCTGTTTTATGGCATTCCTTACTTTTAGTTCACTACATGATAAAAAAGCTACTCAGGGGCAATCAAGCCATAGATGGGTGTGCACAACTTCACTTCTCTAACAGCTTCATTTTTACCTAAAAAATTTGTCAGGAGGGAGACTGCAGTTACTGCACAATTCTAAACAGTGTTTTGAACCACTTTAATGTGAGAATAACAATAAAAGTTTATTTCCCTTACATTAGTAGGCTTGATGATGTGCAGCATAAAAAAAAAAGAACACAACTGATAACTTCTACTATTACAAGTTACATATAATTTTCAAATTAAATAATTTATTTCAGAGTTGAAGTGTAACCAAATGTTTTCACAGAAGGCAACTGCTTTTACATGGAACTTTCATTCCTAAACTGAACATCCTCTATTAAGGAATTACAGGAGCATTTATTCGTAAGATGAAAATTTCACATGGTTAAATTTAGCCTGTCTTAGGAAATGCAATGGTTACTCGATATAAACAAGCTGTGCTATACTCTGCTTCTCCACAAACACAAGATTGATTTAACAAGTTGACACTGCATCCTTGGACCTAAAATCTGGCTGCAGAGAAGCCTGGACAAAGACAAGACAACCTCATAATAACAATTCCCATGAGACATCATAGCAGTCTGAGTGAATGAAAATCTCTTTTTCTGATAAAGTTTGTTTTCACCAGAAAATCACTTTTGCTAAGCAAGAATACAACACATCCTATTAAGTCTTCATGGTGAAACAGTAACTTTTAAAAATATAATTTAAAAAACCTCAAATCTTCTATACTAACTTCACCAGACTAAAGAGGAAAAATAGAACATAACTGTTGAAGTTGGTAGTGACACAGAAAAGGGATTTTAGTTTTTCAGGCTCAGACACATACCTGTAGATCTTTGAGATAACTTTTATAATCTATACAAAATAACGAAATTCTTACCACGATGCCAGCATTTTTTATTGCAAGTGGAAGACCAAGAAGCCCAGTTCCAATGTTTCCCTTGAGGAGGTGTGTAAGTGTTTGTGCAAACCTGAGGACAGAAATATTAAGTCACATTAGAAGTACACTGACATTGGTAGGGGCGGGGGAAAGAAAGTAAAAATATCAAAACCACACCCTCTGTCATGTATTAACAAAGGGATAAATTGTGAGCTTCAGTTACTTTAAGGTGGTTCAACTACTTTAATGTCAGAACATTCAAAAAATATTAAACTTTACTTGAGTTTCCTCAACTAGAACATATACTTCTGATCTTCAATTCTTTCCTCCAGCTTGTGAAAGGTGATTTCCATGCAATTTTATTTTCTTTTTGCCTCAGAGTCTTAATTACCAAGTATCATCAGTGCTATTTTAGAATTATTAACATTCAAAACAATTACCAGCTGCAAATCACAAATCTGACAGCCAAAGCTTTATCAAAAGAAAAAAACATTTTCAAGTTCTTTTAATTAAATTTTAACAGATTATTCCCAAAGTCTGATTTATTTTTTTTTTTAATGAATATATCAAACAAAAACTTCTCTAAACAGTGCTTGGGTTTTGAGTGACCCAATCACTTTACAAATGGTCACCTTAGAATATTTTATAGGCAGTACTTTGCTCACTTCCAAAGAACAGAGACCCTACTCAAAATGGGCTGCTTTTTGGCTGGACTATGCTGGACTATATATCCTGATATATAACCACAAAAGTTCAGTAAGAAGCAACAAATTCTAACAAGCTGCCACTGAAGAGCGATACATACGTGATGCCACCTTCGTTATCAAGCTGGTAGTGCTTCTCAACTGGCAGGAAATTATCTTCATGCTCTTCATCTGAGATGCCATCTAAATTTTGTTCATCAATTAAAGGCTTCATTACTTCCATGTCTGGACAACAGACATGCATTAGCATTAGAAACAAACTTGCAGTTTAGAAATAAAACATGATTTAAACTTCCTGTGCCATGAGGTTTATGTGTGTTCCTCACTGTAAAGCTGATGTAGGCAGATAAGATACACACACAGCAGATTTGCACAAGAAATTCTCTTTAAAGTGGCACACAATCCCAATTATCATCATCATTATGGCCAAACACTGCTGCTTTTCATTAGGAAAAACAACTCTTAATCATCAAAATGTTGATGGTTTAGATCATTTTGCAAGCTAATGCAACATAAAGAAAACCAGAAAAGTCATCCATTGCTACAAAAACACAGGATTCATCTTACACACCATCAGCTACTGCAAAAATAAGCATTTTGTCTACTATTGCCAGTGGAGAGCAAGGGCACTCACCAGAGTCATCTCATCCTAAAATGGATAGGTAAAACAGGTACCACAGAAGATGTCTCCAGTCACTCGTGAGAGAACCAAGATAAAGAAACTATGCTGCACACTTAGAAAGCTGCAATGTCAGCTTCAAAGTTGCCTAAACTGCCACCACAGTCAACAAATGCAGTTCCACCATCCAGCTAAATCACTTCAGGGAGCAACAGTCAGCAGGGAACAGAACTGCACTGCAGGAGCAACTAATAACTTACACCAGATTAATGTTGATTACATTATAACCATTCTTAAACTACTAGAGTTGAGTGAAACAAATCCTGCCAAGAGCAAAATGATAATTTACCTTACACTTGCCTACCACAGCATCCATTCATAAAATGTGTGGTATGTCACAACTTCCATCATTTTCACCAAAAGAAATCCCTGTGATTGTCACATTTTTTATTAAAAAAAAATAAATCACTGAGTATTTCCAAGTGCGGAAGAGCACACCTTGCAGAATTATCACTATTTAAAGAACTCTGAAAACACTGAAGAACAACAGAAAAGACATTGGCTGCATTAAAACATGCTTCACTATTCAGGAAGCAAAAATATTTCAAAGACTGAGTGAACATTAAATACCAGGACCATATTAAGCTTATTTATTTTGTAAGAAAAATATACATGCTAACTGAGTATCTGTGAAGTCCATAACACCAGTGAGATTGTAGAAGCATTTAAAAGAAGGTATGCACAACCAACACCTTTAAAGTACATAGTGGCTTATGAACTTCCCAAATACCAGTTTTATGCTGGGGAGCTGTTATGGTCAATCTGATCAAAATTACTACCTAATTTGAAAACAAGACACATGCGCAAAACCATACAGGAAACGTAGAACATACTGAAAGTTAGCCATTATATTGGGTTTGTGTGGCAAGGTTTTGGCAGCAGGTGAGCTACAAGGGTGGCTTCTGTGGGAAGCTGCTAGATGCTTCCCCCATGTCCAGTAGTGCCAATGCCAGTTGGCTCCAAGATAGACCTGCCACTGACCAAGTCTGAGCCCATCAGTGACACTGGTAGCACCTCTGTGAGAAGACATTTAAGAAGAGGAAAAAACTGCTGTGCAACAGCACCAGGAAATAAGAGCAAGAATATGTGAGAGAAAGAACCCTGCAGAGACCAAGGCCAGTGAAGAAGGAGGGGCAGGAGGTGCTTCAGGTACTGGAGCAGAGATTCCCATGCAGCCTGTGACACAGCCCCTGGTGCAGACCATGGTGATGCAGGCTGTCCTCCTACAGCCCATGGAGATCCATGAGGGAGAAAGTGGCTGCGCCTGAAGGAGGCAATGACCCCATGGCAAGCTCATGTTGCAGCAGGCTCCTGGCAGGATCTGTGGCCCCATGGAGAGAGGAGCCCATGCTGCAGCAGGTTTGCTGACAGGGCTTGTGACCCCATGGGAGGCACACACTGGAGCAGTCTGTTGCTGAAGGACTGCACCCCATGCAAGGGATCCATGCTGGAGCAGTTTGTGAAGAACTGCAACCTGTGGGAAAGACGGATGTTCGAGAAGCTCACAGAAACTCTCTCTTCTGGAAGAGACCCCAGGCTAGTGCAA